TATGCAATTCAGTTTAGAAACTATTAATGATTGTGCCGGTGTGCCCGCGGGTCGTGCTTTATCATTAAGCGGTTGAATCTGCACGCGATCCCTTTATTTATTTATATTTATTGTTTTCATCCAACAAAAGTTTTATTTTTACTGCCGTTAGGTTTACGTTAGACTTTTTTAAATATGTTATACCTGCGTGAGTAAATAAGAACATTTAGTTTAGGTATATCCCGTGACGTGGCGGTGTAAGAATATCTACTACACCATAACCATTAAAACCCCATGGTAGTTATAAAAGGCCATAGAGGTAAACAAACTACGAGATGGGCAGCGGCGTTATCTCCAGCGTATAAAAATGTCAACTGCCGAACATAGGCGTTAAACATGCCATAGCTCGCCATGCCATAGTATCCCCCGGTGCCACAATTGCCACGCTTGTCTGGCGTGTTGCAACCTCAAACCTCGTCATCAGGAAGATACTGCTGCAGTTTCAGTTTCCCTTCGTCACCTCATATGACACGGCGCAGCGGTGATGAGTGCTATGTAGGTACCTAGGTACATACAAAATTATTAATTGCGCAAAACATCTTTTTCTTTTATAAGTAGGTATACCATTTTACGAGGTGTGATAATATTAAAGGTGTATAATAAAAAAACTATAATGTGTTTATGTTCTGGTTAAACTAACATGAAACAAGAACGTGTAAATAGTATCTAGGTAGGTACTAAGTTTGTTTGCTCCCATTTTTTTTATAGAAAAACCTTTTTTTAAAGAATATGTCCGACTATGACCAACGAGCACAAAGTCTACCTGGCATCGATTTACCATCGTAAATCGATGCCGTGGTCCATAGACATCTACATCTATTCTCGATTATAAATCAAAATGCAGATGCGTTGTCACCCCTGAAGACTGAGATGGAATGCTTCGTTTCCAGTGAAAAATATCTTCGGTTCTCTACACTCACCATGCGAAAAAAGCAATACGCAGCTAATTTTACACGTTATGTAGGTAGACTATAGGTACATGTTTATACGCATACAAAATTGTTGTTTAATAAAAATGGAATAGATTTCTACTTAGATTTCTTTTCTGGTTATGCTTTATTTCATGTCATAACAATCTAGTCAATTGAAATACTTTTTTTAAGAAATGCCAAAACAAAACTTTCCTATGGAAATAAAATGAATTGAATTTAAGAATAAAGTGTAATGACGTCATAGTTTTTATAAATAAAATTGCGATCATATTTGCATATTTTTGATAACTGAAAATCTTATTCAACTTGAAATGGAAAAAGTTTTAAGACGACATTAAAAGTAGCAAACACAAGTTGTATGAAGTGGTAATTTATTTATGTTTGAGTTATACCTACCCAAATTCATCGTCATACACCCGAAGTTTTCCTTTAAACACGCAAGTAGCAATTAATCTCTGAAGAGGCGACGTTCGGGGTACCATCAACACCCTCCCCCCTAACTCTGCAGCGCCCGCCTGCTCAGATAACCAGCGCCATGATTAACTGAAGACGGGAAGACGTACTGACAAATAGGCGTTTAGGCATTCATTAATGCCTCGTGTACACGATCGGGGTCGGAGCGACAGGGGGTTTTCCACCGTTCGTTGTGTACAACCTACTGGATATATACCGGACGAGTTAGAACGCTTATTGATTTACGGTTCCGGTAAGCTGCAGTCACATTAGAGCTGATCAAAGCTTTTCTCATTTTGTAAATGTTTACATTCATATTACATTGGTTATGGGATAAGGAGTTAGGAATATTATATACTTCAGTGTTCTATATTATTTTTATAGACTACCTATACAAAAAAGTAAACCTCCGACTTCTGGTTACATTATTATTTCTTTATAGAATAAGGGTGACAAACGAGCACGCAGTCCACCTGATGGTAAGTGGATGCTGACATCTACATTTATCCTCGATTAGGAATCAAAATTCAGATGGGTTGCCATCCCTGAGGACTAAGATGGAATGCCTCGTTTCCTGTAAAAAAGTCTCCGATTCTCTACACTAACCATACGAAACACAGCAGCATACCAGCTTTTACGCTGGTATTTTGTGAGAGCGTAGTCCTTAGTGCTACAACCATATAGCTGCAGCATAGCTCTACCAAGTATAAAAATTATTTCATTTATCAAAGAGCGATGCGATTTCACACTTGATTAAATTGGAATTGTTAGCAGTTTATAATTGTTCTGTCTTTTTAACTCTTTAACATAATACGAGCATTGTACCTGCGAGTAATAAGGCCAAGTTAAAGGAAATTCGAAAAAAAATTAAGAAATATCCAATTTGGTCTATAGATTTTAATAAAAATCATTGGCTTAGTACAGTTTCCATAAACCATGAACGAAAAATTGTCACATTTGCCATAAAACCTACCTAGTACGCGTTATTTTATTATGGTAGGGTAATAAGGCAAACTACTTTAACAAACTCAAGTAATTAAATTACCTATACATAATATATTTAATATATGTGATTAATAGTCACATAAATGCAGCAGGTTAAAACTTAAAGTTCTAAAAAAATATAAATTTCCTCGCCCAACAGCACTTAAAGTAATAAGTATAATGGTGAACAAACTGACAAACAAACGCAATCCTCGTGATTATCATCAGTGTGTCGACTGTGTTTCGAGTTAAGATTAAGTAAGGTTGAGTTGCGAGTTGGGTTGAATTTCCTTCCAACTGAATTTTTGCCACAGCGGCCAATCCCCATGGAGACTAGCCTATCTATCTGCTCGGTACAGAATTATAGTGTCCGAATGTACGCACAAGCACAGCTGCACTCTCTATTCCTCATTCCTTAGGTGCAGGACCAATAACTTAAACATAATTTAACAGTTTCTAATGTCAAAGCCTTCTTCGACACACTTTGTCTTTGCACTGTTTGGAGAGCTGAAACCAGTTCGTTTTCTGACTACATTAGAGTAGTAATAAAAACGTACGATTTATTTGCATTTATAACATTTTAAAAGTGATATAAAGTACATAATAAAACAAAAAACTACATACGAAAAAGGGAGTATAATAAGGTCTATAGTGAAATTTAGTAGGCCTTAATAACCGCCGACCAAGTGTTTAAACATAAACATATAAAACATAAACACTCACGCCTGTCACCCAGAGGGGTAGGCAGAGACTACAGACTTCCATTTGGCACGATCCTGACATACCTCTCTTGCCTCCTTCACATCCATACACCTACGCATACATGCTCGTCGGTTAAGGGTACTCCTAATTTGGCCCGTTTTCAATAAATCGCCAATTTGGTCGATAAATTTTTGCCTAGGACGTCCCTTTCCGACTCTGCCATTCACTTCTGCAACATAAATTTTCTTTGTCACTCTTTCCTCATTCATTCTTTCCACATGACCAAACCACCGAAGCATTCCTTTCTTAATCCTGGTCACAACATCATCTTGCAAACCACACTCTTCTCTTATTACACAATTTCTTACCCTGTCGTTCAGATTCAGCCCTAACATACTCCTTAACGAGTTCAAGTGTTTAAGAAAAACCAAATTAAAATAATTGACGACGATACGTTGTTCAAATCTTCAAAATCAAAAATTTCTTCACAAAGATAAAGATAACGATTTTACATAATAAGATTTTATGTAATATTACAAAACATATATTTATTATATATTTACATTATATATTTATTTGGGCTAATTTTTATTATCGGTGCAGTACGGTCGTATCTAATGAGAGATAACGCAACTCTGGTGGCAGGACGCGAGGTAGCGCGTCTCTGCAAACTTGTAGAGACATTATCGTGTAATAGGAGTCTCTTGTTCTCTCCTTGAGCGAGAGCGGATATTATAAAAACAATATTTTTAACTTAGGCCTAATTAGTCGACAGGCCTTATTACCTGGCAGGTACAGGCCTAATTACCATACATCAAAATGAGTTATAAAAACTATTTAAAATATGTTTTATAAACATTCCTAGGACAAACATGCGGGGCTTATCATCAGATCCACTCCATATCACTGTATTGTCATCATAAGTCAACATAAACGTATGCCAAATTTCACTTCAATTGAATGTAGGTAACTGATTTAAAAATTGATTACAAATTTCGAACTTGTAAGACATACATAGGAAAACAAGTTAAATAAAAGCTTGTTTTTGTGAATCGGAAAAGCCCTGTTTTATCAACAGATGATCTTCATTTTTACTTAAACCCACGTCTATCCATGATGTTTGTATATTTTACTTTTCACGTAATTTAACGGAATAGACATTGTAAGTAAACTGAACACGCTTGCTTCTCATCTAACTAAGAAAGTAACTCATTGCATCCGTTTCCACGATTCAACGCGAACGGAGCGTTGATAGCGCAACAATCTTCCGTCATGTAATTCCGGCGTTGTTTTAGTGCCAAATTATTGTAAATCAAGTGTTAAGTGGCCAACAGCAAACAGCCGCGATGGCTTCCGCGGCCACCGGGCCCGCGCTAAATCCAGTCCGGTAACGCGCGTCGTAAACGCGCGATCTGACGCGTCCGTGCGATCGTAAATCATCGATCTTGCGATGCGATGCGATTTGGCACGCTCGCTGGGTTTTACGGCCCTTACCAAGTGCGCTGTAAAGGGTTTTACAACCGAGAATTGAGTGAACGCAGCGATCAAACTTACGGTGCGTTTCTTGCGCCGTTGTGGTCGTTTCCTTTTCGCTCGTGCGCGTATCGCTTTGATCTTCGCATGTGTGGACTGTGCGCTAACTGTGGTGTACGTATAAGGAAAATCCAAGTCTTGGATAGTTCATACACTCTCATTAGATTTCCATCGATCCTCAATGAGAAGATACAAATCAAGTATAAATAAAACACATTAAAACTATATAGTTTAAATGATTAAAATGATAAATATATTGTAAAAAAAAATTTAAAAATATATTACATACAATACTTGCGGGAAGTGTGGATTTTTCTTGTCGATCATTTATTCTAACTTGATGTGTCATTGTTCCAGGCACTCCTATAAACCGGCTGCCTATAATGGCGAAGTCGGTGCTCGATTTGTACGAGCTATACAACCTGGTGATAGCCCGCGGCGGTCTAGTGGAGGTCATCAACAAGAAGCTGTGGCAGGAGATCATCAAGGGCCTGCGACTGCCGTCCTCTATCACGTCCGCCGCTTTCACATTGCGCACACAGTAAGTACTCTTTAGAAACTGCTTTTCCATTGTTTGGATTTTAGTTGGCATAAAATAAACTTAAAGTACATACTTTACTACATTATTGAAGGTAGTAATAATCGGTTCGCTAGATACATTCCTCATGTTTTTAAACATTTGCATTGGCACAAACACTTTTACTTTAAGATAAAACAAAATAGAAATAGATACTACTGCACCGCTGCCACAGATGGACTGCGTAGCTAAACAGTTGGGTAACAATGATTGATTATTTAATATATTTGACTGCCTCGTTGGTCTAATGGTTGTAATGCGACTGCTGATCATGAGATCCTGAGTTCGAATTCCGGATCGGGCCAAAAAATTAATTATTGAGTTTTTTCGTCAAGAAATTCTCAGTAGCTGCCCGGAGTCAGGAAGTTGGCGGTGTCTCACCCCCGTGCGTCGGAAAGCACGTAAAACCGTTGGTCCTGCGCTTTATCTCTCTCCGGTCGTGTCGGTTTACCGTCCCATCGGATTATGAGAGTGAGGGAATAGAGAGTGCACCTGTGCTTGCGCATACACTTGGGCACTATAATCCTGTCCTGCGCCGATGGCTAGCCTCCGTTGAGGCAGGCCGCCGTGGCCGGAATTCGGTCTGGAGGACATTACTATTATTATTATATTTGACACATCGGTTACAGTATCGAGTAGGAAAAAATATTTTTCTCAGAAATTCAGTGCAACCACGTCATTTTGCCTAAATATTTGTAATATTGGTGGAAAAATTTGCGAATTAGTTACACCGTCCGTCCCACTGCTTGGCAGAGGCCTCACCTCATTTCTGATTTTCAGGGCAAGGAAGTGCCGCGCTTTCTCATAGCGTGTTGGCATTAAAAATATTAAAAAGGACAACAAATTGTAAAAATATCTAGAGTATTTTGTCTCCTACATCTTACTCAATTTTACTTCTGGATGAATCTGTATTAACAACTTGGTAATCTTTGTTGTAATAATTTTAGATCTGGAATCAAGTATTTGAATCAATTGAAATTTATTTCTGTATGATTTCCATTTGCTTCATCTTAAGCAGTAAGATTCTAATAACTTTCACATATATTACCATTTTAAGCGTCTTAAAATAGACCTAGACGTAAACATTAACTGCGTACTTGACATTAATGTATCCATATATCCTGAATTCGTTTTACGCCATTGGACCATATAAATTTATTTCCTTGTTTTCTGTTTGAGCTGCCCATGCGTCCACAAAAGGTTGTGTACATCTGTGTGGTCTTATATAAGTCAGGAGCAGTCGCTCCATATTCGACAGTGCCTCATTGTATCACACCCTCATTCAAATTCTCACGAGCTGAAGACAAAGCGCCGTCCACAATGGCCCATACGTGAACGTCCGTCGCGACAATATGACAACTTCATAATTAATATCCTAACTCATCTCGGCCGATATAATTTCCCATTTATCATTCAACGAAGTTCCTTCACCTCGTCGCCTATTGTCGGTCCAACATAAAGGTGTCTTACATTTGAAATTCCGACTGGCCCGTTACGCATGACGCGTGGATTTCGGGTTTGGTTTGTGCTGTCTTTGCTACTTCTTTAACCGGAAAACTTCTGCCACTGTTTACAGTTATAGTGCTCGCGCAATTCGTCTGTGACGTTAATTTTCATGTAACTGTTACATGTAAAATCTTTTATTAGGAATAGTACGCTTAATACTTGGTGTTGATTATTTTCATTAATTTTTGATTATATCACAAAGTATTTTCGACTTCAATAGTGATACTTTCTTTATTATTACAAGTTTTTATTAACCAGTTTACAAGCACACGGTGTGCATTTCATAAAATTCAACCAAAAACGCTGCACCCAAAATTTGACGTTAATGGCTCTTCGCTCAACCTGCCCCTCTAACATAGTTTTTAGGCTGCACTAAAAGTATCGGGAATGGAATATTTCCACTGTTCCTGTCATATTAAAATCTTTTCAATTGAAAACTCCTTGGATTTAAAAATCGAATACAATTTATTTATTTAAAAAAAAGATTCTCGATCTTGCCACAAGGTTTTGTCAAAATTGTTTAGTCGTTGAGAAAATGGAATTAACTCGAGAAAATTCAAGAGCGATGATTTATTTATGACCTTCGAAGTGGTTTAACACAAAAGCAGTGTGTTGACCGGATGATTTCTGCATTTGGTGATGAAACCCCATCCAAAACCACAATTTATCGCTGTTTTGCTGAATTTCAACGTGGACGTGTCAAGCTCAGTGATGATCCCCGTCAAGGTCGTCCAAAAACTGCAGTCACCCAAGAAAACGTTGATGCTGTGCGTAAGCTGATTGAGGAAGATCGACATGTGACCGCGAAATTCAGGCAGCTTTGGACATTGGCATGAGTCAAATACAAATAATCTTGTATGAACAATTAGGTGTAAAAAAGTTGTTTTCCCGATGGATACCGCATTCGCTCTGTGAACAGCAAAAAGCGGCTTGCGTTACTTGGTGCGTCAGAGCTCTCGAAAGATTCCACGCAGGATCCTCAAATGCTGTATACAACATTGTATCAGGTGACGAATCCTGGATATACGCGTACGAACCCGAAACAAAAAACCAGTCACGAGTTTGGGTGTTCGAAAACGAGTTAAAGCCAACAAAAATTGTTCGTTCACGGAGTGTTGCATAAAAAATGGTGGCCACGTTTGACTTTAAAACCGGCCATGTTACGACTATTCCTCTTGAGAGACAAAGAACGGTTAATGCAGAATGGTATGCTAGCATTTGTTTGCCACAGGTCGTTTCTGAACTCCGTAAAGAGAACTGCAACCGCCGCATCATCCTCCATCACGACAACGCGAGTTCTCACACCGCACACAGAACAAAAGAGTTTTTAGAGCAAGAAAACATAGAATTATTAGACCATCCGCCGTACAGCCCCGACCTAAGCCCTAATGATTTCTATACTTTCCCTAAAATAAAGAATAAATTGCGTGGACAGAGATTTTCATCACCTGAAGAAGCTGTGGACGCCTACAAAACGGTCATTTTGGAGACCCCAACTTCCGAATGGAATGGTTGCTTCAATGATTGTGTGATGGTTCCACCGTATGGAAAAATGTTTCAAATTTCGTGGAGAATACTTTGGGAAGCAATTTATACATTTTTAAATAGTAATGTTGTGTCACTTCCTTGATTCCCGAAATTTTCAGTGCCGCCCTCGTAATGTACTACCTACGCATGTTAGAAAAGGTACATGTCCAGCTCTGGACATGCGCCCTCCTTCCTGCTGCGGCCTCCTTTCTGCCAAGCAGGGTCGCGTTCGTATACGGCTTAGAGATCTCTCGTCAGATCGGTAAGCCAATGCATAAAGGCGGTGTTAGTGGGTAAAAGTCTCCACATAACCACGCAGCCGGCTGCGTGGTATGCTATGAGCATTCACCGCCTCCCTGCCCCGCTTTCCGTAGGGTTGCCCATATTTGCTTCGGGCGCAAAAAAAACTTTGGACATGAAAGATCTAAATTAAACTTATCCATAATAACACGGAGTTAAGTTAAATAACAAATGAAGAATTAAAAATTCACCTGTACTTATTAACATCATAGCTACGAGTATAATTTATGACGAAAGCATTTATGACTTCTAAAATCGTAATAATATCTTTTGATAGTAACGTATGCATACACTTGGTGGGTACCTATAAACAATTTTCTACAAAAAAATTACATTCTTTTTTCCAAAGTCACGTCGCTCCTGCATTAAATCAAGCGAGCATTAATGACGAATGTCGTGTATTCAACTCACTCATTTGACAGTTTATGAAAAGGTAGCTCCGGTTTTTACGGCGCATCGTCGGGCCGCTGTAAGATTTTCATTGTGTGCTCGCATTTTAAATATGTGAGCGCTTCACATGAACGGTGACAACGAACTGGTGACAATATGCTCTTATAAAATTGACTCTAGCGGTGAATGGGATTAGAGATGTAATAGGTCGTGTTATTATCCTAATGAAGGATAGGCGTTTGATCTTAATTGAGTTTGGGAATATGATTTACTGGCTTGTCAAGTTATACGCCGATAGTTAGGCGGTGACAATATTCGTTCCGATTCATGAACGTCACGCGGTCATTTTGTTATTTATTATCGAAATAAATCGTATTGTTAAGAGTTTTGAATATCAAAAACCAGCTGTCTGGAACAATTTTTGTAGCAATGGTGGTCTGTTTTTATCTGACATAAAGGTTTATTGATGTGAAATTAAAAATTGCATCATCTGAATATTTGGCAAACGAAAAACAAACCAAATAGATCCATTATGTTGGTGCTCTCTTTAAGAGCATTTCTGATCTCGAGGAAGCATCGCTATGTTCTGTCATCCGTTAAAACACGGAAATGACTTCCTTGAAAGTTGTTTTTTTTTTAAATAAGAATGACAAACGTGCACACAGTCGATGGTAGTGGTTGCCGTGGCCCATAGACACTTAAATCTTCCATCGATTAAGAATGAAAATGTAGATTACGTTGTCACATATCAGAACTAAGATGTAAAGCCTCGTATCCCGCAAAAAGGGTTAGTTAGGGTTACCGTTACCCTTACAGCCTTTTAAAAATACAATGTTGAACATAGACTTCCCCTGTACATTTCATAGGGGGAATACTTGCCATAGTCGCTACGGTAGGCGGGCTGGAAAGAACAATAGTGACGACACAGAATACATAATAGTTTTTTTTTTATAGAATAATGGTGACGAACGAGCATACAGTCCACCTGATTGTAAGTGGATGCTGTGGCCCATAGACATCTACATTTATCCTCGATTAAGAATGAAAATGCAGATGCCTTGTCACCCTTGAGGACTAAGATGGAATGCCTCATTTCCAGTCAAAAAGTTCCACCGAATCTCTACACTCACCATACGAAACACAGAAGTATTAAGCTGCTATTTTACGCGTGTATTCTGTGAGAGCGTGGTCCTTCCCCGATCGAGCCTACCCATTCCTGCTACAACCATAATTTAGCTGCAGCGTAGCTCTACCACTTAAAAAAAGGCAGGCAGCAAGGATTAGTTCATGTAGTTTACACAGAATATTAATGTTTTTACAATGGTGTTATAGATACATGAAGTACCTGTACGACTATGAGTGTGAGAAGAAAAACCTTTCAACTCGCAGCGAGCTGGATGCGGCCATCGAAGGCAACAAGAGGGAAGGACGGCGCGCGTCAGGGCAGTACGACGCGCAGGCGGCACTCGCTATGGTCAGTCAGATCTTTTTTTTTATAGAATAAAGGTGACAAACGAGCACACAGTCCACCTGATGGTAAGTGGATGCTGTGACCCATGGACATCGACATTTATCCTCGGTTAAGCATCAAAATGCAGATGCGTTGTCACCCCTGAGGTGTGAGGACTAAGATGGAATGCTTCGTTTCCAGTAAAAAGGGTATCCGGATCTCTACACTTACCATACGAAACACAACAGTATTCCGCTGCATTTTACGCTGTATGAGAGCGTGGTCCTTCTCCGGTTGAGCCGACCCATTCGTGCTACAAGCATAATATAGCTACAGCGTGGCACTACCACGTATAAAACCTACTTTATATTAATCTAGAGCTATTTACAACTGGAAATACCTATATAATGTCACCGTGTTAACAGCGTTATGGCAGTGTTATATCCACTGCTCTATATCAATATCATCCCGTGAGTGTTGTAAAACGTGGCAGAGCGCAACTGAAACAGGAGATGTGAAGCAGCATCGTCCTGATAACAACACAAAATAATAAACTGTGGTTTCTAACCCGCCTGTCAAGCGGGGCAACCAGGTGTATGAAAGTCCTCAGTAGTTTGCTTTTACGTTGATACTAGCGCCATCTAACAGTCAGTAAAAGCATTATTTCCCCCAATAATATATAAAATGCATCACTGCTGACATTTATTAATTATACTGAAGTCAAAACCCGCTATAAAAGCTTTGAAATACTGCGATATATATATATATATATATATATATATATATATATATATATATATATATATTTGTATATATTTGTATGATATAAATTCTCATTTTCATTCAGCTTAAACAATAACCATGACTTGAAATGCGACGATTATTCTTTTAGAGTTAATCAATACATACATATGTATACATATGAATAATGAGAATTTATATCATACAAATTAGTCAGTTTCCAATTAAAACATATAATTATTAATTTTATTAAACTCACGGAATAATACTGAACGTAATTGAAAGAAAACCCTCTTGTGTATTTTTCGGTAATTTATATTTTATAATCCCAACATCATCTATGACGCGCAGAAGAAATTTTCCTCGTTTAGTTATTTATGCCCTATATAGTATCGTGGTACTTATATATTGTAGAAACTATGGTAACATCCCTCTAAGCCCTAAGAGGAGATTTACGTTAAGCAGTGGACTTTTATAGGCTGTTGTAGATAGACTATTATGGTAATGTATAGGCTAAACGAAATTGAAAATACTCGCGTTGCCGATTGAAACATAATCGAAGTCAATATTTGACAAAATCTTCTTTCGATTAATGACAGATATAATATTATGTCTTTGTTTAAAAGTAAAAAATCTAGACTTGTCTCTTATTTCAACGAAAAAGAGTAAGAAAAAATATTTCTTTATTAGCGTAGATAAAATCTACGCAGCCTAATTGGACGGACCTTCTAGTCCTAAAATAATCCTTCGTTGAAGTCTCGCTGACTTGACGTAGTACAGACTAAAATATATTAATGAATTGGCACACATTAGTATAACTGAAATTAAGGGACAACGATAGCAAACAACTGCTGCTTCGATGTTTTTTTTTCATATCGTTATTTTTTTATTATTTTAAAACATCTGATTATGATAATTAAAAAAAAACTGAAAAATGTAGTTAGGTTCCCCTCTGTCAAAGTATAAGTCTACGCGGTTCAATGCGTGAAATAAAACGTTTAGTTGCGCGGCTCAATCGACGTTCTACAGAAATGTCGAATTGTTAAGTTTTTTTGCTGCAAAATAAGATCTGCTACTTAAAAATTACTATCTGGTTAGAAGCGTGTGCTTAGGTGTGAAGGGTGAGGCAGCAACTGGAAATTAAATAAATTCTCAGAACCTGTATCGCCAACCTTTTCTGGAGCAGCAGTGTATCTTCACTGCTTTGCGTAGCGTATTCATTTCGGTGTCGAAAATATTGCCTAAGATTCGCCATCATGATTAAAATGATTGAGCTTCTTACATTCACTTCTCGGATACGTACAACTAAACTGGTATCCTTTTTTTACCGTCTGCAAAAAATAGGGTGTAACATGTGAACGGAATAGAAGCCTATGGTACTGATACTTTACATGAAATAAAAACGAGAATCTTGAATTAAATAAATTAATTAATTAAAATCTTGCGAAATTTTACCCTAGTAGTAGGTAGGGTACCTACTTTACGAACGGCAATAAAACAAGAAATTTAGTAGGCATCTTTGATCTTGTCACTTCGCAGGGTCACAGGCTAGGGTGGATATGATTTCAATTTCGATAGATTTTAATTTATTTATTTACTTCATGCAATATTTTTTGTGTAAAATATTAGCGGCATTGGCTTCTAGGTACTCCGTTCACATGTAGCATCCTACTTTTTCCAGACGGTATAAAAGGTCATCCAGTATATAATGAAAATTAACGCTGCTAGGATAGAAGTGTGCGTTGCTCAAAAATGTGATCCTAAAGTATTTTTATATTGGGTGCGTTTGGCAGAAAAAAGCGCTAGCAATAGCTTGTCAGCAAAGTGTCGAAACTAAACAGTTTTCGGCCAGGACAGCCAGTAGCGCTGACACAATCCGCCATTTTGCTTATTTAATTTGATTGTTTTGAAGTAGAGTTTATAAGTTGTTTTGTGCAATATTAGTTTTAAATAATGACGTGAATAAACATATACATGTGATTAAAAAATTCATGATTGGTAAGTTTTTAATATGAATACTTCACAAACATATATTTAAATTAGGTTAGGTTCCCCGGTTAAAACAACTTCGTGTCCTAGAGGAAAATAGCTACTTACGATTTGACAGCGCTTACCGCTTACGATCGCATTTTGCTTACAAGCGCTTGCTTTTTTCTGCCAAATGCACCCACTAATTACGTATTTGTGTTGGCGTGCGCAGCCGTCGCTGAGCCGCGGCGTGTCGCTGTCGATGCCGCTGGCGCAGCCGCTGGCGCTGCCGCTGGGCGCCGTGCCCCGCCTGCCCATGCACGCGCCGCACCTCCACAACCACGACATCGAGTTTCGCGTGCGCGAGTACATGAAGATGATACAGCAGCAACGCGACCTCATCAGAAACGGTACGTCGCCTTCCATAGTTTTCACTTTATATTTACTTATTTTATTGTTATCTTTGTTTTAGTTACTGTAGCGTTATAGATGTTAATGAAAGATGGGAGTTTTGGCGCGAACTTGGCCGTAGAGGGGTTGTCGCTCCTATTTTGTCGCTTGAATAATGGTTTGAAGTGGATTTTAAAAGTGATGCGATTTTGTGAATTAAGTGTTCGCGCGTGGTGAACTATTAGAGAAAACGACGAAACAAGTGCCTTGATGTCGATATAAAACTCAAGTTATTTTGATCGCTTGGGCGCCTTATGAACTTGAGTGGCTATCGTCATCAACTGTCCGCTGGGTTGAGCTGTCGTAAAAACTCTCAAGGGCTTCGCAATGTGACCCATCAGCATATTGTGAAGAAAAAATATTAAAATGAAGATTCAGAAAGAAATGATAGGCTCAGAAGGGCTAGAACCCAGAGCTGTAAAGCCAGTTAATAAAAAAAATATGAAAGATGATTGAGTTGCGTTACTAATAATAATATGTACCCATTTATATACATATAAATAGCTTATGGGAAGAATGTTATGGAAAACTATGATAGTTATTATTAATTACTTGTATTAAGGGGATATAGTAAGTCAGCTCAAATTCTGATTTCATCCCCACTTGCCCGCGCGTCGAATGCTATGTGCCGACATGTTTGTAATCACTAATACTGTAAGTAGAAAGGTCGTTAGACACTTATTTCATTAGGTTTATCATATTTATGCCTGTTTCTTAACGCCAAGCCAGTCGCTTCTTATTTTTATTACGGTTATTTCCCATTTTAATTTTACGTCGTCCTGTTGCGTAATGTATATTCTGATCGTAAGCGACACAACCTCCCCCTTCAAAGGCCGAAGCGAAGTGACCGGGCGGCAGGAATCACGCTTCAAGAGGCCGATAGTTTAGGTAATTTCTTTTTACAGTGAAAATAATGGTATTTTAAAAAAAGTAAATAACATAAGCACTGCTTTATAGTTAGTTCAGTTAGTATGCAAATTTCATGATCTTATTTAAAGTATTATAATATGAATAACAGCGGTTTATTGTTTATTTTGGAGGTAACTTTGGATTTTTTTTCTATCGAGAAAATTTTACGAAATCGTGTTTTCGTGTAACATAATCCTTAACATTAATCCTCAACTTTACCATATATTTATTTCAAAATTAATGCTGCAATATTTTCGGCATAACGAAGGATCTTGCTAAGCCATTTGAGATAATATTTCCCCTTAACACATAATTCCTTACGTCTTCGCCGACATGAATTATCTAAGCTTTGATCTTACTATGTTGATTTTTTTATACTTGGAGCGATTATTTGTATCAATTTATCTTTTATTACTTATTAATTATTAAGGTGATACATACTTAATTCAACTTTATAAAATAAATCTTAAAAAAATATGAAAAATATTTTGAATTTAGAAATAGACGCAAAAAATGTTGTGGATTTCTATTTGTCACGGTATAAATAATGCGCTTATATTTTAGGCTCGGAGTCACCGCCTGGCAGTGGCGGCACAATGATGTCGCCCCGTGAGGCTGCACTCAGTGCCATCGACGTGTCACGTCTTACTCTGTGGTCGCTCTACAACAACAACAACAACAACAGCCCGCAGCCGGACCTCGAGCCGCAGCGGTACGAGTCTGTATTCTATTTTATTTTATCTACATTATAATTTTCCTTGTCATTCTTTTGTCATTTTATATTTGGTAAACTTTTGCGAGTGTAATGTGGCACTACTCCGGAGGCGTGGAGCAGAAGTGCGTAGGTGTTGTTCTTCAAGAAAGGCAATAACGCTCTCTTGAAGAACTACAGACCGATTTCCCTTCTGAACCGCGTCTACCCATGAGCTGTTTTCGAGAGTCATTACGAAACGCCTCGTACGCAGACTCGACGGCTTCTAGCCTCCCTAACAAGTCTGTTTCCAATAAGGCTTTAGTACCATAGATCACATAAATAGCCTTCGGAAAATTGTACATGAGTTCGAAGTGTACAATCTGTCACTTTGCCTTGCGTATGTGGACTACGTGAAAGTCTTCATTCCGTTGAAATTTGGGCAGTGCTTCAGTCAGTTCATTCCCTTCAGCGATGTCAAGTTGACTGTCGGTATATCGAAGTGCTGAAGTGTTTGTACAGTAGAACTACGATGGTTATCCGAGTATAGAACCAGAATACGAAACATCCAATTGCAGAGAGGTAGGCAGGATGACCTTATATCCAAGAAACTCTTCACCGTTGCATTGGAAGACAACACAATTCTCAAGCTACTGGACTGGAAAGGATACGGTATTAACATCAATGGCGAGTACATCACTTACCTTCGATTTGCCTATGATGGACAAAACAAAGGTTATTTGTAACTTCTATATCACACTTATGTCGGTAGTTGTTAGGAGCACTACGCTCGAAGTTGTCGACGAGTATGTCAGACTTCGACAGGGAGGTCAATCGACGGAATCAATTCGGTTGGGCAGCGTTACCAACGGCACATTTTCTCGTCAGGTATAATAACTCAAACCTGAAAACAAGATTGTAGTGCATATTCGCAGTGATGATTTATGGATCTGAGTCGTGATTTTTCACGGCTTGCCTTATGGGGAAGCTGAAAGTTACTCAGCGAACTATGGAGAGGGCTCACTTTTGCTCGGGATTTTTCAAAATAATAATAACAATGATGTTATCCACAGTACACAACCTGGCGATAAATATTGCACATCGACCTTTAGAAGGAGACAATCGGCTAATTTCGGCTTCGTAAAGCCTTATCTCTGTTGCACACTGACTGACGGACTGTTTGTATTTCGTGCGACAGAGATAACGCTCTACGAAGCCGAAACTAGCCCATTGTCTCTTTCCAAAGGTCGATGTGCAATATTTATCGCCGGATATTGTAGAACCTGAGTAACCAACGTAGCCCAATGGATTAGTAAGCTGAAGTGGCAATGAGCCGGCCATATAGCTCGAAGAATTGACAGCCAATGGGAAAGAAAGGTTCTCGAGTGGCAGCCTCACGGCGAAGTGTAGGGTGGCCCTTTTTATATAATAAGGTTGACAAACGAGCACACAGTCCACACAGTAAGTGAATTTTGAGGCTCATATACACTTACATTTATCCTTGATTAAAATTTAAAATACAAATGTGTTGTCACCCCTTAGGACTAAGATTGAATTCCTCGTTTCTAGTAAAAAGGGTCTCCACCGGTTCTCACTACTCATATGAAACACAGCAACATTAAGCTGTTATTTTACGCTGGTATTCTGTGAGAGCGTGGTCTTACCCCGGTCGAGCCGACCCGTTCGTGCTACAACAATAACATAGCTACAGCGTGGCTCTACCGCGTGGCTCAGGACCACGCTTTTGTAGCATTCCTTGGGGGATTATGTGTAAGCAGTGGAATTGTGAAGGGCTGTGATGAATGAATGAATGAATGAATGAACAATTGTATTTTGTAGCGAGGCGCTGAATCTGAGCGAGAGCCCGAACTCGAGCACGAGCGGGAAGCGCGAGGCATGCCGATCGCCGCCGCCGCCCGCCAAGCGCCGCACGCCGCGCCCGCCCTCCCCCCGCGCGCCCTCTCCGCGCCGCGCACTGCCCGCGCACCCGCACGCGCACGGGCACGCGCACGCACCCGCGCCCGCGCCGCAGCTCAACGGCAACGCGAACGGCGTCAACGGCGCTGCCTTCAAGATTACCTCTAGAGGTAAGTCGAATGAAGAAGTCAATTCATTATGTGGTGAGTAGATTGCCCATAAGCTAATCTAAAACTATCGTGTTAATGGAGCTTCTTTTTAAATCACCTCTAGAGATAAGTCCGATCAAGGTTTTGTTTTGTAGAATAAGGATGACAAAAAACAGACAGTCCACCTGATGGCATGTGAACGATGTGGCTCATAGACATCTACTTATATCTCGTTAATGGAGCTTACTTTAGTATATCAATGGGGCTAGCTTTAAGGCAATCTCTAGAGATAAGTCCGAACGAGGTTTTGTTTTATAGAATAAGTGTGACCAAAAATACACAGTCCACCCAATGATAAGTAGAGGTTGTGGCTTATGTATATCTAATATCTATCATCGTCAATTAGTATACGTGGTTGAGCCACGCTGCAGCTATATTATGGTTGTAGCATGAATAGGTTGGCTCGACCGTGGCAGGAACACCTTCTCACAGAATACCACCTTGAAATAGCAGATCAATGCTACAGTTTCGTTTGGTGAGTGTAGAGAACCGGATACCCTATTTACTGGAAATGAGGCATTCCATCTTAGTCCTCACGTGCGACAGCGCATCTGCATTTTGATTCGTAATCGTAATCGAGGATAGATGTAGATGTATATGGGCCACAGGTCCACCATCAGGTGGACTGTGTGCTCGTTCGTCACCTTAATTCTATAAAAAAAGCGGAGCGTTTGTCACCCATGAGCACTAAGAAAAAAATACCTCGTTACTAGTAAAAAGGGTCTCCGGTTTTCTACAGTCACCATACGAAATACGTCAACGTTATTCATTTTTAGTTTATCTCACGCCGGTATTCATTATGTAAGAGCGTAGTCTTTCTTCGGTCGAGCCGAGCCGTTTGTGATGCTGTATCATATCCTCTCTGGGCGAGATGTGTTTTCAAATATTTTAAACCAATGCTTGAGTTGTAATAAAAACGATAATGTTTGGTGAAACATTATCGGGATTATCACTGCATGGCTATGTCCCGAAAAACTCTTTCAAAGGAGTTATATGAATGTAGAGGGTTGTATTACTGATTATAATTCTGTAAATACATATTCGTTACGTTCGCGAATCATATTTTTTTCAACATACAGCCTGACACTGACCTGCAAATTGCAAAAAACGTAAGAAAATTTGAATTTCACGGGCTACCCTGGCGCTTTCACCATGAAGCATTTTGCAACATTTAGTTAAACAATAGTCAAGTATAAATAATATTCTTTCGGATAACACAGATGTAAATCGAATAGTTTTGTGATGGTAAAAAAAAACAATATCTTCATTTAGAGTGATGACATTAATATATTCGTCTACTGTCATTGTCATGTGGTTGTATCGTTTGACGTAAACCTGCAATTTCTTCTGAATAAAAATTCGTTTATTAAATACTTAGAGTACACAACACTCCCGTAATAATTACCTTAAATGATAAATTAGTAACTTTTGTTCTTTGCAGGTGACGCCACCACAGGCGACCAACAACTTGTCGTCTCGATAGAACTCAACGGAGTCACGTACGAAGGCGTTCTTTTCCCCTCACAAAATGGAAACGGACAGAATGGTCACAGGCAAATGGTTTCTTAAAATATTATATTTAATTTTTTATTGCAAATTTCTGGAACAAGAATGTAACTAGCTGGATTTACGGTCGGATAAAAAAGAGTATTTAATGTTATTGTACATAAAAAAAGAAGTAAAAAGTTTATTCCAACTTTTAAAAATTGAATTAAATACATTGTAATACGCCAAATTCTGTGGCTAAGGAGCTAACATCACATCATATTTTTATTTTTATATGAAAAAAGTGGGAATTGGTTGTGACGGTAATAATAGTATACCTACCATCTTTTACGTCATCGCATAGTTAATAAAGCGAAAATCTCTGTTAGCAGTTTTCATGTTTTCAAATAGGGTATATAATCTATCTCTTACGTTCTAATGATACATATAACGTATGTTAATCTAAATAGATACATATTTTACTAGGACGGTAAAAATCTATTGAAAACTGCCAAAATGAAATAGAGATTTAGTCGTTTAAGTACAGTAAAGCGTGATGAGATTTATATTGATATCACAAAAAGTTTCCCGGCTCACATTTTTTTAAATTGTTATAAAAAATAAAGTAATGTTTTCATACATTTGGTGTCATAAGATCTCAAAATGATTAACTATCAATTTTTTAAGGATTTTTATTAAAAATTATGGAAAACGTAAAGAAGATAATTTTTCTGTAATTTTTGAAAACCGTAATTTTTTATATATTTTTAATACTCAAATTACAAATTGAGTTCGAAAAGCTATTTAGCGTGTATTACGGATCATTCAATGAAGATGAAATGAACATTGTATGAATGTAGATATACTCGTGGATTCATGCTTAAAATTCAATTATTTGTAGTTCACGAGTATACCTACAAGTTGAGATGGTCACTGCCTGTGAAGTTGTTTATTACTTTTAGTAATACTTTGCTCTTTGGTGGGTATTTTGTAAAAAAGATTCGATGGTGTTCTATTGGTTGCGAAATGACAAATACTGTAAATATAGTTTCATATTACGCTATGTTACTTATTTATAATTTTGATATTTGTTTGTCAGGTGCGTGTTGACTCGATAGTGTGCTCGTTTAATATTTTATGTCTGCCATGTATATTTTGTAAATAGCTGAATCTCGTGTAAAATAAATGTAGTATGATTTTTTTAAACACCATGTATGTTTGTGATTATTGGGTACCTAAATCTTTAGGAGGTGTACATTTTATACTGTGGACGATGTCAGTATTTACTAGTGAGTAGTTATTTATAGTTAGTTTTAAGTAGTATTTTCCTCGATAGTAAACTAAAAAAAACTTTGTTAAATTTAAACCATATAACCACGATTTTTAATAGGAAGTACAAGGATAGGTATTGTTTTATACTACATTGTTAAATTTTTTAATGTGTTAACGTGAAATGTCTTCTTTTTAAATTCTCGAATATATGTAAAGCTAGTAAATAAATACCAATAGAAATAATAATTGATTATTATCGAACTGATATTGAGTGAGGAATCTTCGGACTACTTAAAATAAATATACGGTCGCGGCCATTGCACATAAACTTTAAGAAGTTTCAATTTATGCCATTTCCTTAGATTTTTAGGTACTTACTTAGGTTAGACAGTAAGTTTCAAAGTGATTATATTAGAAAAAAATATTAGGCGTGCAATTGAAAAGCAATATTGAAAATGGTGTAGTGCTTGTGGATTTAGTGTTGTGGGCTTCTTCTTGTATCTTGTGAAACAATGTAGGACTGAAATACTAGAAATACAGAAGTGCGGTATTAATCACTTGCTAATGTCGATTAAGGTGTGAGGAGATCTTAGTGATAGCACGATTGGGGCTTATGATATTTTTAAATACAAATAGATCTGGAGTAAAAATTTTTGATCCAATAAACGTGTTTTATCTCCCCATAGTGCAATATGCCCAGTCCCAAATCAAAAAATAAATCTAAAACAATAATCGAATAAAACTACTGTTCGTAGTACTTTTGCAAAAAAAAAAAAACAAGTGCTTTGTAAATGACTGATTTTATATTTTATAATTACTTTATTTAATGTATTTAATTTTAAACATTAACGTGTATAATTGAATTTATAATTTTTAGAGACACATTATTCGAGTTAAGTAGAGGTAGAGTTTAGTACATTCCTGATGATGTACAATAACATGCGAACAATATGCACTGGCCTATTTGTACACGTAGAGGTGGCTGTGGCCAGGAGGTTGCGATAGCGATTTTCGTGTTACACCAAAAATTTTTGATGTATTCAAATAAATATACATGAATAAATAATAATAATTATGACGATTCAAAAGTTTTTCATTTATCGAATAGTTGGTACCCGGCGCATTGCTGCCACAGAAGAAACAATTGTGGAAATATCGTTTTAAGTTTGGAAGAGTTATATTTTTTATTTAGGAATGATAATAACATAGAATACTATAATACACAATAGAATGGCTGTCAATCTTATTTTGTACGAGGTTTGGCGTTGCCAAACCCGATTCACTGTGTTGACAGACTGAGTAAATTTACACATTTTAAACTTTTGATCAATGTTCAAGATCATCATTAAAAAAACATCGTTTAAATTTTAATACATATTTATTTGTAAATATGGTGCAATTTGGCATTTTCTAAATAATTTACATGCGACATTTGGAAATGATTTTAACGTCAAAACACATCTCGTGTTGACATTTATACGTGTGAATTGACATGTTAGTGACATTTTAGGGGCTACGCGGGCTCCGCCCGCTTCCCCGTTCTATTATGTATGTACTATAGTATTCTATGGATAATACATTTATTGAAGTTGAATGATACGCCACGTTCAAATAAATATCTCGATTTGATACACGCGCCACCTACCATAAGTTTAATTGCACTATGCCTATAACCATCTGGCAAGTGTAAGCAATAAGTTGACAAAGTTTTACAGCAATCTTATTGTACGGTATGGCAACGCATTAAATATGAGCAAACATACATATTTTTTTATATATATTAGATATAAAATGTAAACACTGCTACACAGCTAGGCATGAACCTATTCCGTTGTAGAAAGTCTCGCATCTTTGACTATATAAGTACTCTGTGTCTTTGAAGCTGCCTTGTGGTTTTTTATGGAAATTTCAAACGAGCATGCGGCACATCTGACCATGGAGGTTAGAGAACAGGAGAACGATCGCTACGTGCTAAAGCATACCCACCCCGTCCTTGAAAATTTGTAGAATTTATAGCCGCGCTGCCGTCGGTAAGTATTTAGTATCTGCGAAGTAATTTTTTAATTATTGACAAAAAGAAACATTATAAAATGGTTAAATATTATTAAAAAATAATAATAATAAATCAATTAATAATTTATATTTGTAATAATTTATAATAATTTAAAATTATAAAAACAATTTATAATTTATTTATTAATAAATAATAATAATTTCTTTATTTTCTTTTTTCTATCTTGGTAGCACTGTTTCTTCAGCCGTCGTCTTTCTTTGAATGTAATCGGTCGCTGTCTGTATGCTCTTTTGCTTTTTAATTATTTAATCTTAGTTTTAAAAATGCCGAAAGTGGTTAAAATTGCTAAACGGCAAACTATTCTTCAAGTTTACGCATTTTGTGAAAAAGAAAAGGCAAAACAAGCTGATTTAGCCATTGCAACAAGTTTGTGACCGAGTTGCCGCCATGACCGGTATGTTTTAGGGTGACCAGTTACAAAGATTATATATATATATATATATATATATATATATATATATATATATATATATATATATATATATATATATATATATATATATATATATACAGGGTGTTTGGTGGGTGGTCCGACAAACTGAAATGGGAGATAGATGGGTTCGTTAGAAGCATATTTTCTTAGTAAATTTTTTTGTAATTATCCCAATTTTCTAGTATTTTGGTTCAATAACTTCTACTATTTCTAGTTTTCTACCATTTATTTTTATTTTTCCCAAGTATAATGATTTGTATATAATTAAAAAAAAAAGATTTAACGCCCAAAAAGCATAAGAAAAAATACTTACGATACATTGAAAGTGAACAAACGAGAAAAATAATTGTAAACCTCTAAGTTTTCTCCAGCCCCAGAAAAATAAATAAAATTGTTGAGTAATTTAAAATGGCCTTAAAAACTTTCCTGATTTACCCTCTTTCTATCGGTATATCATATGTCAAATAAAACTTTAGATTATTTAACAAAATCATTGATAATTGAATGTGAGGGCGGGGGAATTAAAATATTTCCGCTTAGGACCCGCGGGTCAGCTACAGCTACCAGCTCATACGAGCGCCTATTATTGTATTTAATACAAAAAAAGTTAATGGTTGTGTCTACACTACACTAACCAGGGTCTTGCTCAATAATAATAAAAAAATAAGTACTAGTAATTTTTTACTAAATTTACAAATTTTGTTCAAAATATCCTCCTACATTATGCAGACACGCTCGATATCTTCGACGTATTTCAGTCGTGGTAGTTTTTAATCGTATTTCTTCTTTCATAATATGAAAAGCAGCATTTATTTTTCCAATCAACTCTTCTTTTGTTTGTATTTCATTTTCGTATACAATTTCCTTTGCTCGGCCCCAGACATAAAAATCCAGTGGAGTCAGATCTGGGGATCTCGCAGGCCATTCGATAGGTCCGAGTCTCCCTATCCACATGTTCGGAAATACCGCATCTAAATATTCCCTCACGGTTCTGCGATAGTGGGCAGGGCAGCCATCGTTTTGAAATATTATTCTTGTGTCCTCATTCATTATTGGTACCTCGCTCATTAGTTCCGGGAGATCATTTTGTAAAAAATGTAAATAATTATCTCCGTTTAAATTATCAGGTAGATAATGAGGACCGATTAAATATCTTCCGATCACACCTGCCCACACGTTAACACTAAACCGTGTCTGATGCGATATTTGTCTCGTTTTACGTGGGTTTTCATCTTTATCTGACCAATAATGTAAATTATGTTGATTGAAAATGCCTTCTCGTGTAAACTTCGACTCGTCGGTCCA